AAAAAAAAAAAAAAAAAAAAAACTTAAACCTCAAATGGTAAAGGGATCAAGAGATGGGGAAAAGTGCTAAGCTGTGTTATGTACATGTACCAACTCCCCACAAGGAATGTGATCATTATACACTGCAATAATGTATAATAAAAATAAAAGTGGGGTGGGGGTGCTGAACAAGCCAAGAAGTGCTCCACCACTGAGCTACATGCCGGGCCCTAGAGTGGTGAGTTCCTGAAGTGGCTGAAAGATGTGAAATAAGGGAAAGCCCAGGGCCCATAACTAGTTTCTGAAGAAAAAGACATGGAAACAGAATTCCAGGAGGCTAGGATTTCATTTCAAAAACATGTACTTGTGAATCCCAGGAAATCTTCAGTATTGTAAAACCTCAGATGCTAAAGCATCATATATTATATATAAAATTTGCTTAATGTTTCCATCATAATTCTACAGATTTGTGAAAGAACTGGAGGAAAATGCAGAGCACAAAACACCCAGCTATCCCTGGAGACACAAGAGCTGGAACCTCTAAGGATACCACACGGTGTGCTGCAAAGCACCTGCAGAGCCCCAGATGAGACACATCTGTGTGGTCACTCAGCAGCGTCACTGCTGCAGAGCCACCTGGCCATAGTGAAGTGGCTCCAGGACTTTTCTTGACACACTTTCACAATATCTTATTCTTAGCCTGTGCTTGTTTGCATGACCAAGAAGCAAGCATGTGCACTGGAGGCTGGGGGGTGTGTGTGTCCTGCACCTGCAGCCCACAAACCTGCTGAAGGGTCCTTGAAGCAGGACCCAACCTCAAGGTGTTCGCAAAAACTGTCTTCCATGCACACCGGGCCCAAATGCCTGAAAACAGCAGTTTACTAAAGAAGGTAGCAGTGCTCTCTGCTCTCACCCTCAGCATCACCTGATTTGCGACATGATGCTGAAAGCTGCCCTCACTGGTGCACAGCAGACCATGGGAGAGAACTGGTGATGTTTACAGGGGCGCCAATGGCAGGGGTCAGCATGCAGTTCTGCAGACGGCACAACGACAAGCACTGAGTCTTCCAAGCCACATTTATTGCCTGTCCTTCATCTTTACTGCTGCACGAACAGCCCTTTAAGAATGTGGAACTATCCTGAGTGAGCTGGGTGTTGCACACAGAGCCACAGGCCAGGCTGGGTCTATAGGCTGCAGCACACTGGCCCAGGACCTGAAACTAACCAAGCACACAGGCTGAATGTCTTGGCCACAACCCTCCTCTGCTAGGGCGCCCTTCTCCATGACAAATGTTGAGGGGCTCCTGACTCACTCCCCTCTTCCCCTGCTGCCCTTGGATGAGCAGAAGCAGGTGCTTCAGTGCAACCGGCGATTAAATCCACATAGTCAGAATGTTCTCACACCCCTGGTGTTGTACTGCAATACAACACAAGGGTCTGCAGCATGTGTGAGCTCCAACTCTTGAAGCAGTAGGGTAATGCCCAGAGGTAACAGCTTCAGGCTCCTGCTGATGCATGGGCCAAAACAAGCTATGTCTGAAACCACTCC